GAATGACAGCCTGCCAGGCAAGGGGGAGGGGGGGGGGGGGGGGAGGGGCGATGTCGCCAGTCAGTGGGGCTCAGGCAGGCGGCGGGTGCTGCCTGCATGGATGCAGCAGCGGGCCATGGCCACCAAGCGGAGGGTGGTGGCACACAAAGAAAGACACAGTGAGCAGGCCCCTCCTGGACGCACCTCGCTCCGCTCGGCGCGGTTGATGTCCGTCACACGGAAGCAGTGCAGGCTCGGGCCACCGCGCTCGCGACGCTGGCGCTTGGCGGCATTCGGGTCGGTCAGATGCCGGGTGGCGCTGGCCAGCAGGGCAGCCGCGTCGCTGCCGAAGCGCTCCTGGTCCAGGGCCTGGCGGTCGGCGGCCAGCTCGAGGTCGGCCCACGCGCGCGAGGGGTTCTTCCGCTCGAACTGCTGGCGCAGACGCTGCTCGCGGTCCAGGTCGGTCAGGGCCACCGTCGAGGCGGTGTCGGCATCGCGGCGGCGCGAGGCCACCAGGCGCTCGCGGCGCGACCCGGCGCCCTGGTGCGAGTCGCTCCAGAGCGGGGCCTGGGACCCGGCCTTGCGCTGGCGGGCACGCGCGCGGGACAGGGCCCGCTCCTCGCCGTCCATCTGGTCGTCCGAGGCGTCGGCATCCTCGTCGTCGGAGTCGGCCACGCCGGCGGCCCGGGCAAGTGCCGCGCTGCCACTGGTGTCGATGATGAAGTTCTGTCATGCCAGCGCCCGGGTGGGGGAGAGGTCAGCGGGTATGGTCGGCACGCCCCCCCCCCCCCCCCCCCCCCCCCCCGCCGGCCGCCGGCGGGGAAAGGCAGGGGAAGGGGAGGGAAAACAAGGCAAGAGAATGTGGTGACGCACGGAAGAGGCATCGTCGAAAAGGCGGTTGTCGGCGCTCCGCTCCGAGGCAACTGCACCCCAGGAAAGCAAGGCCGAAGGAGGGCACCGTGTCAGTGGGGAGGCGGAAAAAAAAAAAGAAGAAGAGAGGGCACAGACTCCAAGCCAAAAGCAGGGGGGAGGGGCGAAGGACACATCACGCAC